AATCTCCATGAAGCTTAAAATGATGCAGGCAAATTAAAAATAAAAAAATTCCCCGTTGTCTAGTGGCATCTATGTATGGCCACCCTCGTCCCATCCCATCTTGGATGCTGATGCTCTGTGGTTGGGCAGCAAGGGAGGTGAACGTGGACGAGATGGTTTATTCATTGTTGCCGAAAGCCGCCATTGGTTAGAACTGTTCTGCCGGTGGCTTCACAAAGGCACTCGGTGCTCCCTCCTCAAACTTGGGGGGCATCGGAGTAACTTGACAGAATAACTAGTTTCTACTGTGCAAACTGAGCCCTGCTAAGGTCAGACTTAGTGGACCTTGGTGTGCATGTGAGAAGACTTTCAGGCTTTTGTTGAATTTGGAACACATCTTTGTTTGCACACAGGTCAAATTTCTGAGGGTTTGGGGAGATAGTTGGCAATAAGAAAGCATTTCTCTTGAAAAATCGTGTTTTAAATGGTAACTCAGTTCTCAAGCCAGTCCACAAAAAAAAAATGAGTCCCAGGGAAAAAATCCTACTTAAGCTTCAATATGGTTTTTATGCCATAAAACTGTATATTTGTAATAAAAATAGTAATATCCAGGACAATGGCCAGATGAGTGATTATAAAAAATAGAAAAAAATATTTGTTTACTCTGCGATATTGAGTATTTGGGTAGGGAAATGAGAAAGTGTGCCTATGCTTGGTAGACTCAAAGGGGCTATCGACATCATTTCAAAGGCTCGATAGTTGGTGGCTCTGGTTTCCTGTAGTGGGTGGCCTAGAAAATGCTTCTCAGGAAATCTGGATGGTTTCTTTTCCATGAGTATGTGAGAGGAGCAGGCACGGTGGGGCTCCCTATAATTCAAGAAGTCATTAGCCTGAGTCTGGAGAATGGAGAGTTTGAGGCCAACGTGGGCTGCACAGTGAGAACTTGTGTCAGAAAAGAACAGAAGAACAGAGGCGAGACAAAGGAGGTTAGAAGGTTGCACTGAGACAGCAAAGTCGGAAATCCTTTCAGCCAGAAGTGAGCACAGTCAAGAATTTACATGGGAGAACATGTTGACTAGGTGTGTATCTGAGCACAGAAGGGGGTGGGGTGGGGTGGGGTGCTGACTGTGGTGGCACAGGATGGACATTTGCTTAGGAATACAGATGTTTCGAGAGATACCGCCTGGCACCTTCCTTACTGAAGCAAGGCAGAGTAGGCCGCAGTTAATGCAGGGACTCTCAGCTATTCAGAGTGTTGACAATAAATGACCACAAGTGCTCAGTCCCAAATGGGAATCTGTATCATCAACTGACCCTTTCAGTCACTTCCTGGCCCACTCCTAGCACCTCCAGGTTTCAGAGCTCCTGTAACCTTGCAGAAGAGGGGTGGAAAGAACGCAGGAGCTGCAGGACAGGAAGGGTGATGTGAAATGATGTCCCCTTGATGTGACAAGGCACGTGCCCTCGCAGGCTCAGTGCAGCGATGGCTGCCTGTACAAGGGCAGGTGCTTAAAGTTCCATCATGGATGGGGAAGGGATCATGAGACTGCACTCTTAGATGATGAAGTATCGGCAGCTGATGCTTTTGGTTGGGTTGCCATTTCTCTCTGGACATGTGGTTACTGGAAGACCGCCCCTGTTTTGGTGGGACCCATGCTCATGCGCATAAGGGCAGCACCAATTAGATTCAGCGGGTTTCTTTCCAGAAGGATGTGTGAAGGTACAAGTGACAGAGGATCAGTGAATCGTTCTACACTTCTTAGAGAAGCTTTTTTGGCACGAGATGGTAATTAGCACAGAGACCCACAACGGGGCAATGTGCAGAGAGTGAGAGAATTTGGAGCACTCAGCCCAAGCAGGGATATCTTTATCAAATCTCTTCCCGCAAGACTACAGAAGAGCTGGCTGAAAGATTATGAAGGCCAGAGGTGGTGGATGGCTCCAAAGAAGCAATGTGATCTAGACACAGTAGGGCTGATGCACATAAGAACTCAGCCTGTGACAGTATGTACACCACTTGCCAAACTCAAGCCAGACAAAAACCAGCATGAGAAGGGAGAACGGACCCAGAGTTTCACCCTAACCAAGAAGCAGTTTGCAATGGATACCTGCTGGGAGAATCAGTTCATTAGAGAAAATCAGTTTTCTGGATTACTTAAAAAAAACTGATTTTCTCTAATGAACACTGGGAATATCATCCACACTCCAGAGCAGGCTATATGCTCAGGAGTAGTTGGCCAACATAAAATAGACCCCATGGTATTACAGACATGTGCCCCTGGGCCTGGTGCTATATGCAATACCAGCTCTGGGGAGGCAGAGACAGAGGATCCCTGGAATGCATTGGTCAGCCAGGCTAGCTGGAGAGGTCAGCTCCGGGTTTAGTGAACACCCGGGATGATAGAGGAAGATACCAGTGCTCACACACACACACACACACACACACACACACACACACACACGCTTTACACAAACATATACATAAACAATATAGAAAAGCTATCAAATAGCCTTGCTATTACCATATTAAGATTTTTAAACCTGTGTGTTGAAAAAATGGTGTAATCTGTTTTTTCTGTAATTTCTACTCATACTTAATCCAGGACAAGTTGTTTATCTGTGTTGTCAGGGAAGGAATACCTGCTGAATAAATTGATAGCAGTGCCACTAATCTGGTTAATATCTTAAAGAAAACCAATATTCAGGTACTTTAAATTATGAGTGCTACTGGCCTAAAACTAAAGATTATTATTTTAATGTCAATTTACTAATAAGAGGGTATTTTTTTTGAAGTTTCGCTGGGAACATACTAAATGTTGTTAAAGTATATTAAGGAGGCTGGAAAAATGGCTCAGTGGTTAAGAACCCTGGTTGGTCTTCCAAAACAAGTTGGGTTCTGTCCCCAACACCCATCTGGCAGCACCCAATCATCCCCAGCTCCAGTTCCAATGAACCCGATGTCCTCTTCTGACCCCCACAAGTGCCCAGCATGCACGTGATACACATATGTATATGCAGACAAAATACTCATATGCATAAAGCAAATCTTTATAGAATATGTTAAGAACAACGTTCCCATACCTTAGGAATTTGTATATTCTTCTAATTAAGCTATGTTAGGGAGCTGTTACTTCATATTGTCATAAAATCTTATATTTAGTTTTCACAGATTGAAAGTTTTTTTTAAAAAAAAGAAGCATAATTAAGTTGCATTCAAAGAATTTCCTAGCCTTGGGCAGCTTTTTAATGTAAAGCTATTAGCACGCTAAGGAGTAAGTAGGGAGCGGGGAATGCCAGGTGCTTAGTATACAGCACCACTCAGTTTGCACGAATCTGTCAACATTTAATGCAAGTTATCTGTTGGTGCTGTCCCTGTCACTGAGAGTGATGGTTAAATTGCCACAGAAGAAAAAGAAACCTTACAGTCAGCATAGCACACATTAAACAAGTTACATAATATATACAAACATATATAAACACTGTCAGACGTAAGCCAAACATTGCACTCTGAGAGTTAGGAGCCTTCTGCTGGAGCATGTGATTCAAGACTGTGTGTGAGATATATCAAATACGGGGCCCAGTGTGTGGAGATCTGAGTCACCTAAAGCGTATACACTCACATTTGAAGACAGTATTTTTTTTTTAAAAGCTGGGTGTCCCTGAGGACAGAGATCATCGCAATAAAGGTGAAATGAGACAAGAATTCCCGGAAGTATTTGAACTAATTTCATGCCCCACAATGGCTTTATTTACTATCGCCCCACAAAGAGGGTGGCTCACCACCCATTAGGTCCTTTACTGCTGAGCCTCCTGTTTTCCTCTTGCCCCTACATACAGAACATGTGGGGGTGAAAAAGGAAGCCATTCAGAGTGTCAGTGACCCCTGGCCTGTGGCCGGGTCCTGTGAATGGCTAAGACTGTGGTTCAGGAAGTCTGTCCCTGCAGCAGAGACACTGGGCCCTTGTAGCTACTAGGAGAAGGTTCTCAAGAGAGGCTGTCTTCTGAGGACAACATCCGATTCTCAAAGTTTTGTTTTTGTTTTCTTGCAAATGTGACATTTTTAAGGGCCTGTGTTACTTCATTCCTTTACTTCCCAGAAGGAACCTGAGCCAGATTTAGACCTTAATCTAGATGGGTTTGCCTTTGGGACAGTGGGGTTCTTTGGTAATGAACGAGTGGCCATCAAAGCAGCTGCCTGGACAGGAGGCAGAAACAGGCAGAGAGGGAGAATCTCAGGCTCAGCTCAGAACCTACTCTCTAATGGACTCCCAGGCTCCTTCCAGAACCTTCCAGAATAAAGCCCAGGGCTCTACTCTGAGCCAGCCTCCTTACAGGTCAGGCCCTGAGCTTTTTCTAGACCTCCAGGCTTTACTTTGAGCCTGGCTTCTAACACACCTCTAAGAACACTTTCTGCTTTTGCTTCTGCTTCTAATAGACTTCTCAGGCCCTGCCCTAACTCTGCATTCCAATAGGCCAAGGTCCTTCCCTGGCCCTGTAAGTGCCATAGACACTGGTCCTGCACTGGCCATGCTTTTTCCTAGACCCCCAGAAGCTTTTCAAGTCTGCACTGCAGTATTTTGGGCCTCTCTATAATCTTTCACTACCATGGGAGCTCTGAACATTCCAATCTAGGGGTTCTCAGCGCATGGAGACGGCTTTTGGCAAATTCTCACATTTTCCCACTTGCTATTGACAACAGCTGCAAGAACCCATCTTGGCAAAGATCCTCATGTCTTTGGGCAACATCCCAAAGAAGACTTTTTAAAACAGCATTTTATACTAACTCTTCCAAATGCGACATACCTAATTATGATTTTGGTTTGGTTGTGCTATTGATGAAACGGTCTATAAAAGGTGATCATTGAAAAAGGTTTAATAGTTGACAGGTTGCTAGCAACAGTAAACATTTGCTCAGGTTGAGAGTTTACACTGGGTTATGCCCTTTAAAACCAAGAGAAAAGTTCTGCTCAGTGATCATGGAAGCAAGCTACGTTGGGCCACTGCTTAGACCATGCTCCTACCTTTATATCCTGTGGGTTGATCTCAGGATTTGTTTGACACCGCAGAGGCCCCAGAGTTTGAAGATGAAAAATATAGAGGAGAAACTCATCTCGTGCTGAGAATGGCCAGCCCACTTCCAGAATGGTGTCACTGATGGTGCTGGGTCCGATATTGTGCAGCTGCAAGAAGGTGACACATTAGGAGATGTGGTCCAACTCTGTCTCTCACGGGTTTGCTTGGAAAAGCGCATGTCATTAGTGTTGACTATGGCGGTAGAACACAGAGTCCCCCCAGGCAGGGGGAGCTCTGAAATCACAGCATGTAGATACTCAGGGAAGAGCATGAAGCTCTGAGCTTGGGTTTCCTGAAGACCCGGAGACGGAGAATTCTTATCAGAAAGGCTTGGGACCAGAAGTATTTTAAACTTCAGAATACTCAGGGATGGGACCCAATTGCAATCACAAAATTCACTGATATTTCAGACATACCTTATTATGCGTAGCTTGAAGGTAACTTTTTACATTTTTTAAAAAACTTATTTAAGTGTATTTGTGCGTGCACAGCCGCCTGTGCACATATGTGCCTGTGGAGGCCTTAAGTTGGCATCAGCTTTCTTCCTGGATTGCGTCACACCTATGTATTGAGGTAGTGTCTCTTACTTGAACTCAGAGTTCACGGCTACAGGGCTGGACATAGCTATTCAGCTTGCTTCAGGGATCTCCTGTCTTTGCTTCCTAAACCCTTGGATGACAAGCAGGCTGCCACACCCACATGGCAAGGGTCTTACCCACTGAGCCAACTGCCCAGCCCATTGTATTTTTAACGTGCTTGTGTTTTGGCTACGGTCTGTCCCATGAGGTCAGGTGTGGTATTTTCTGCTTGGAGCTGGTATCAAAGCAATTGGACTTTGTAGTACATTCTGTTGTTTTTCAGATTAGAGAGGCCCCATCCGTACTCTCTGTGTGCGATCACTGCTATGCTTACCTTGAATTTATGTAACTTTAACGGTAGCACTAGAAACACACTTTTAATTATAGGCTTCCAAAATGTAGCCATCTTTTCTTTACATTTGGAACTGGCCTCCTCCTGCCTGACTACTGGCTTGTCAATTGCAACCATATGGGATGCACTCTCTTTCACCCTCTGGGAAAAGGGCCATCCATCAAGCACCAAAGCCTGTCTGTGCGCCTTACAATTCTCTGCCAGTGAGTGTTTCCAAGCTGATGTGCTGTCATTAGCCAATCCCAGAGAAAGGAAGGCCACATCTCATGAAGACGAGCATTTTAAGCACGTGACTTCTGTTCAGAGGACACAGATGCCATCCCCCGCAAACACTAAGCACATTGGAAGGAATTATGAGTTTACAAATTCTCTTCAAAATTAGTAGAGATCGTTGCCCCCCCCACCCCGATCTGACAGTTACCATTAGAATCTATGAAGCAGTGTGGTTTCAGCTTTTTTTATTTGATGGCCTGTGTAATTCACATCATTAAAGGAGCATGGCATCCACTGACCCAGCATGTTAGGAGAATTGAGATTAATGTGTAAGAAATACTTGGTGACTGGGAGCAGGGATGGGGCATCCTGGTGCCTGCTTTAAACTTTCATGATGTTCATGCTAATCCTAGAAGCAGAGCTGCACATAAATGATTGAATCTGAGCATCTTTTCCAAACTTTGAAGTTTTACCATTCTTAAGAGGAAATTGACTCCCACAGTTTCATAACGATTCTATTAGTCTATTATTATTATATTGCTATTTTCCTTGGGAAGTTCTTGACCTGAGTGACGCTGGGACAGGTGTCGGGGTCCAGCCTCGAAAGGGTTCACACGTTCACACGTAGGGGTGTGTGGGTTAGAAATATTAGATAGGAAGAACAGAGATACGAAAGAAAAGGAACAGAGACATAGGATAGAACCGGGAGGGCAATCTAGTGAATACTGAATTTACCTTCATTTATTTTCCATATGCTCATATACCCCAATCCAAAACGGGGAAGGCAAAACGACTGCTTTAACATGATTCAAAGAACAAACAGAGCAATTACTTGCTTCAATATGTGAAACATCAAGTCACTATATTCTGAGTTAAGCATTCTGTTGTTAAGGCAGGATGCGCACTGACTACACCTTAGACCAAGCAACTGGTAGGCAGCCACTCCCTGGGTCAAACCATCTACATCCTTCAGGGAGCAGGAGTAGGCTTGACCTTTGGTCGGGGTGAAATGGATTCACTTCTGTGGGCCACCTCAATATCCAAAACACCACGTAACCACACCCTAGGTCAAGATATTTTGTTTGTAGCCACACCTTAAGTCAGACCTCTTGTCAATAACCTTGAAAGAGCCAGAGGAGGCTTAACCTCTCTCATCTTCAGTCAAGGTAGAGAGGACCCACTTCTGTGGGCCCCTACAGACAGGCTGTCCTTTTGTTATCAGAAGAACCTAAGCTCCGGCCAGGGCATCTGAAGGTGCAGAGGAAGGACGTTTATGCCAATACTGTTCTCCCCATGGAGGAAGAGCTCAAGTTTGGGAAAGCCTTCACTGTTAACCCAGGGGGAAGGAGGTCTTCATGGCCCTTTGTAATGGTTGACGTCAACTGTCACTTGACAGAAGCTAGAATCACCTGAGATACAGGGATTATCTTGATTTTGCATTGTTGTGGGAAGGGTTCTGTGTAGGTGGGACAATTCCCCCTGGGCTGTATAAATGAAGGAGGTGGCTGGAGCTTGCATTTTTCTCTGACTCCTGAGTGCAGATACAATGAGACCAGCCAGCCTCCTGGGCCTGCCACTATGTCCTCCCTGCCCGCTGCCATGTCTTTGCTGTCACGACGAACTGCATTCCCCTGGAATTATAAGCTAAAATAAATCCTCTTCCCTTAAGTCACTGTTCTCAGTGTATTTTATCACTTACAGGTCCTTTGCATGTATGTATTTATTATATATTATATATATTGTGTGTGTATTATATACATACATGTATTATATACATACATACACACACATATTGGCTTCTGGTTTTGCGTTTTTATGGGGTTTAATTGTGCAGATATATGCTTCTTGAGCTTTCTCTTTGGATCTCATTTGTTCTGATTGTTTGGAATTATTGCTTTTAAATGCCCATTTGCAGCCTAATGAGAGAGAGCAAGGAAGGGTATGGATTTGAGTGTGTGTGGAGGCAGAGAGGAACTAGGAGGAGTTGGAGGGAGGGAAACCATAATCAAAACATATTGTATTAAAATCTGCTTTCAATTTTAAAAAAAAGAAAGTTATGTTCAAAACAATTGGTTCAGAGGCATGAAGGAACAGAGGATGAATGGAGAAGGGGTCTCAATTAGAAAGTCAATTGGAATTTTATTTTTCTGAAATTCCATGCTGGGTTCGCTGAAAACAAATTACTACATGACTGATGGCATTAACTTTAAAGAAAAACCTAAATAACTGCTAAGTTAAGCCTCTGTTATATATTTACTGTTTATATTGAATCTAAATGTTTTAGGTAACATGTCAACAAGTGATCTCACTATTAACAGTTTAAGACTTTGTGTGGGAAAAGAACACCGGGACACTGTTTCCTCTGAAGATAGTTGACTAACCCATGGAGTATTCAGATCTCAGAATAAATCATTCACTTTCAACGTCAGTTACACAAATAAAAAGGTAAAATCATTCTATCATGTTCTTGCCACATAAATTATATCTATATTTTCATTTAATAATGACTAATTAATGGAATATTCTAATAGTACTTCATAGTTAATGACATTTAGTTTATATATAGGTAAGCTTAAGGATATCTGAAAACATGAAAGAAATATAATCAAAGGAATTAGGCTTTTTTGATGCATAGGCTGTCCAAATATTAAGTGGCGAACAAATAAAAATATTTTTAAAAGATCACTTAATAAGATAAGGTGTTTCTTGCCAGGTAATAGATCTTACCACTGAGGACTGGATGTCCATGTCTCTGGGTATTCAGCTGGGTAGCCATCAGCAGCCACTATAGCCATACTAGTGTATGGGTAGTTATTCTTCAGGGCACCATAGCCATAATAGTACAAGTTATAAAGTTTGGACCTTGAACTGGGACCTGAGGTTCTATGAATTTCTTATTAGTAAGGAGTACATGAATAAAACATCAAAAAATTAATATAGGAAATAAGTTTCTTGGATTGAGGAGATGGCTCAGGAGTTAAGATCACTGGCTACTCTTCCAGTGAACCTGAGTTCAGTTTCTAGTGCTCACAGGAGGCAGTTTACAACCACCTGTGATTCCAGTTCCAGAGGATCAGGTGCCAGCTTCTAGCCTCCACAGTCACACATGTGCTGTGCATATATGTACACACACATATGTATATAGGCAGAACCCCCCAATGCGTAAACTGATAAAATAATAATTAAACAAGAAATAGATACCTCATAAATATGCTCCACCAAAGGACCGACTTCCTCCTCCTTGTGGGGCTCCTTGTCTGGTTCCCAGTTGTGGATGGGCAGAACAATCTGCGGAGGGTGAGACACTCTGGAATGTGTAATATTAGGTTGGTTACTGATGAGCGCCTGCTAAGTATGTCTTCCTTGCATATTACTATATAGTTACACTGGTTCCAGAGGAAGCAAACTGCTCTCCAGTTACTGGGGACTATATCTGACACGCGGTTAGACACTGTTAGTAAGGGGTGCTAAAATGACCGAGGGAATAGTGGAGACACAGAAGCACTGTGCGTTCTTATACACTGGCCTATGGTCAGTCACTGGTTTACAGTCTTGTACATCTTAGACAGGGAGCAGGGCAGAGCATGTTATTGAGTGGACATGAACAATTCAACACACATATGTACATTTATAAAGTCTGCTATCCACTTTTTGTAAGTATGTGTCTGTGTCTCCTGGCATAGAGGTTATATAACCCCTGCTTTAACACAGAGTAAGAAAGAGGGTGTGTGTGTGTGTAAATATATTTAGGCTCCTGTGAGATGTATTCAATATCTAGTTGAAAAGATATACAGTTTCTGGTTAAATATGTCTGCATAGACCAGTGGACACTCTGTGTATATTCCTTCTTTGTAGATTCTTTTGGTTCCTGTTCCTGCAGAGGGCAGAGCCAGACTCAGGACCAGGTAGAATCAAGTGTGATCACAGACTAGAGTTGTCTTACGGACAGTTTGTAGGACAAGTGAGGCAGACCTAAGTATTGCCATCATCTAAGTGCAAAATTAACTTAGCAATGTACACATAGACAAACCTGCTGAGTGAAATTTAGTTTTTGGCATCATGTGTACCTGTGTGTGTGTAGTGTGTGTGTGTACATATGTGCTTATAAGTACTCCCCTCTTCTGGAGTCGGTGGAGGCCAGAACTTGATGCTAATATGTCTGCCTCAATTGCTTCTGCACCTTAGATTTGAGACAGGACAGCTCACTGAACTTTGCGCTCGCTGTTTTGGCTATGCTTGGCTGGCCCAGCAGCAAGCCCAAGCAGTCCGTCAATCTCTGCAGTTCTGCGTTGGGGTTGCGGGGTTTGCACAGCCTCACACAGCCTTTTCCACGGGTTCTGAGGGTCCAAACTCAGATCCTCATTCTTCACAGCAAGGGTTTTACCTTGAGCCACTCCCCAGACCCCAAAGCAGAATATTAAAAGATACCGCTTTCTAGAATTCTATTGAGAAAAGGTATCTTTGAAAGAATATTCATTTTTTAGCTAAAGTTAATTTCAACTGAACAAATCTTTGCATGGGTCTCAAGTGCTGCTTTGGAAACATTCAGTAATATTCGGTAATATGCACTCTCTAGTAACTCCAGCATTTTTTCTCTTCTAGGCTGTTCTATCTATTAAGTGTTTATTCCTCTTTACTGTTGAATAACATTCTACAGTATGGTTTTTTTTTACCATTGACTCACTGGGAACCGTCTGGGTTGTTTACAGCTTGAGGCTCTTACAAATAAATTTCTACAAACATTTATACAGAAATCTCTGTGTAAGCTTAAGTTTTCATTTTCTGAGAATAATTTTTTTCTGGGATAAATAAAAATAGTTTTTCTATTGTTGAAGTTTGTTTGCTATTGGGAACTTAAAAACTAAATATTTGGTTATATAATGCAAATTCTTTTAAAAATATAATAGGACCTGTCTTCTATTTCTATTAATTCCAAATAGCAAAGAGCATCATTTATTGTCTTGAATAAGGTTGACCCTACCTGCTATGGATAGAATCCAACATAGGCTTTGGTTATTCATGTTTTTTTCTCTTATTGATTTTTTCTCTTATTATTCATTCATTCATTTTCTTGTGTGTGAGCATGTGTGTATGTGTGTGTGTGTATTTTCCATGGCTTGTGTGTGTGTGTCTGTGTGTATTTGCCATAGCATATATGTGTGTGTGTATTAGACATGGTGTGCATGTGTGCATGTGTGTGCATATTTGCCATGGTGTGCACTTCACATGCGTGTGTGTATTTGCTATGGCTTGTATGTGTGTGCATGTGTGTATGTGTATTTTCCATTACATGTGTGTGTGTGCGTGCATGTACATGTGTATTTGCCATGGTGTGTGCATGTGTATGTGTTTTTTTGTGTGTGTGTATGTGTGTACTTGCCAAGATACTCCTGTGGAGGTCAGAGGATATCTTGTATGAGTCAGAACTTCTACCATTTTGGTTTTGATCCTGGGATAATAATTGGGTCCTTAGACTGGGCGCATTACTTGCTGCATCATCTCGTGGGTGCTGCTGCTTCCTCTCTTGATACAGCCTCCCCACTGGATTAGTCTGAAAAGACTGTGTATTTTGGTAAATCTTTATGAACCTAATCTACATAGTTTACCACTGAAGGCTAAGCTTACTTAATGCATGTTAAATCAATACTTTGTCATATGAATTGTTTGCCAACTGGCTCAAAGACCGGTTGATGCCATGTAGTAATGAGTCAAATGGAACAGTTCTAAGTACTTTTACCCACTTCAAAAAAACTCTACTTAAGATTATTTTTAAACTATTAAAACAACAACAAATAAAAATGGGCTTAACATAGCGCATGATAAAGCAGCTCAGAATAAACTCCAGTGACCGAAAGCAAATGAGGGTTCCTGAAGGCTGACCATGGAAGATCTTATAGCAACTACTTGTTCCTTGAAGAATTAAACATTGGAGCCAATGTTTTAAAAGCATAATCAGAGGACGGAGTCTTGTTTTGCGATATGGCCAAAATGAACATTTACACTGTCAGAGAATAAACTATAGTCAATTGTTGGACATTAATGTAGCAACTAACACAGCTGCATCCACCCGAGAAACCCGGTTTTAATTAGTTGTTTGGATTATTGCCAATAAGGAATAGAAATTTTTTTTCACTCTACCCGATGGCAGGAATACATGAGGAAACATTAATTTCCTAAGATGAATGTGTAAGAAGGAAGGGAGTTACAGTCTTTCAATGCCTTGGAATTACTTATACATTATATGAAAAATTCCCCACTTTATAAAAAAATAATTTATTTACAAAAATTTAAATTTAGAATTACAAAGCAGTTAATATACATGGTATCATCATCGTTATTGTTATTATTATTATTGGTTTTATGAGACAAAGTTTCTCTGTATTGTCCTGGTGCTCCTGGAACTTGCTCTGTAGATCAGGTTGGCCTCAGACTCAGAGATTCATCTGCCTCTGCCTCCCAAGTGCTGTGGTTAAAGCATACACTACTATACCCAGCTTGGTTTCTATAATTTTGGGGTTGTAAATCTAAAATGAGCTACAGAGTATTGGGAGGCACAGATTTGCAATCCCAGATACCCACAGGCCTGCAATTGTAGCTACTCAAGAGAGTGGGCCAGCAGGACTGAAAGCTCAGAGGCTGCAGAGTGAGTGGGTTCAAGGCCCCCTTTGAAAACTTAGTGAATTCTGCCTTGAAAGAAAAAGTAGAAGGAAGCTCAAGGAGGTAGCTGTGTGGCTGAGCGTTACTTAGCAAACCCAAGGCCCTAGGTGCAGTAAACAACACACCCAACCCAAATAATAAACAACGAGAAAACTCTGAGATAACAACGGGGGAGGGGGGAAGCAAGGGTTCCTGAATACTAGTGACAATTCTGAAACCATAGGAGACAGTAGAAATAAATGCTATATTTTCTTCTCTGAGCTTTTAAAACAGTGACTTTCTTTGAGAAAGAGACAAGGGAATGAAATTAAAAGTAAACAAAAATAAAACAATACTAACTTCTAACGCCACATCACTGTATTTCAGGTAAGTCACTGCCCTTGAGTCAGATGATTCGGAGAAATCATAGAGCAAGTAAGAAAATAGAACTGAGTTCTAAGGAAACCCAACATAGCAGCAGTTTAGAATGTCACTAAAGTCATTCCTTTTTCAAGCTTGTATGCATCTATGTGTATGTGTGTGTGCATGTGTGTATGAGTAATGTGTGTTTGTGCATGCATGTGAGTGAGTGGTTTATGCTTGTGTATGTGTGCCTGTGTATGTACATGTATGTGGATGCCAGTGGTACTAGCAGGTGTCTTTGTCTATCACTCTCCAGAACAGTTTTTGATATGGGTCTCTGACTTAATCTGGAACTTACTGACAGGAAAAGACTAACTGGCCAGCATGCCCCACTGCAGTGCTAATATTGCAGTGAAACATTCCACACTTGGCTCCTTAGAGTGGGGACTGGGAGTTGGGTCTTAGGTTGTCATACTTGGCGTGGGGATTGGGGGTTGTGTCCTAGGTTGTCACACTTAATGTGGGGACTGGGGGTTGGGTCTTAGGTTGTCATACTTAGCGTGGGGACTGGGGGTTGGGTCCTAGGTTGTCATACTTAGTGTGGGGACTGAGGGTTGGGTCCTAGGTTGTCATACTTAGTGTGGGGACTGAGGGTTGGGTCCTAGGTTGTCATACTTAGTGTGGGGACTGAGGGTTGGGTCCTAGGTTGTCATACTTGCACTGCAAATGCTTTACTGACTGTGCCATCTCACTGGCCCTCGATTAAGTCACTCTTAAAGAAAAATATATAGTGCTAATATTTTTACAAGTAAAGAAAAACTCCAAAGATAGAATTTCTAGATAGAACTAGAAGAGAGCGATGGAGTTGGAGGTGCGCGCGCACACACACACACAGGTGGGGGGTCAATGGAGGAGAGAGTAAGATCAAATCTACTAGGGAAAACCAATACAGAAAAGCACAACAGAGACAAGAAGGAGCAGAAGCAGAAAGAGATGTGTGGCCAGATGCTGGAAGAGTAGTGACCCTTCTCCTTGTTCCCCAGAACAAGGCAGTGATGGAAGAAGATAGGTCTAGCCCTGAGAGGCACAGTACCAAGAAGTCAGAGACTGTGTTTAAGTCTGAGTCAAGAGAGTGGAAAGAGTACTTCCTGCCCTGGGGGAGCAGAGAATTCCCAATGGGCGTCAAAAACAAGAAACCCAGACTGTAAACCTCAGCTGGAGGTAGGCAAGAGAAGACAAGGGGCTGGGAGAGAGGATGACACTCAGGCACACATTCCAGAAGGAACACTCAGCTTTCTGAAGGATTGGGGCGTGTGCTGGTGCTGAGGCTGGAGAGATGCTCGGAAGTTAGGGACACTTGGATGTAGGAATGCTTCCAATACAGTCAATGAATCTGGTATCCCTTGACACTCAAGAAAGAAAATGATAGATCAATACTTCTCATGAGTATAAATATAAAAGTTACTAGCATGATTCTAGCCAGTTCAAGTCTGGAGTATCTTTTCCAGAAACAAGTTTAGTTTAAACTTTCAAAACAAAAATTAAGCAGCTCGCAATTTTCATGGACCCGTGGAGAGGGAGACAGAACCATTTAATCATCTTCATAGACACAGGCAGTACACTGGACAGAACTTAATAGGTATTCATTCTAGCAGTTCTCAAGCAAAAATGAACAAAATGTAAAAGGGAACAGCCAGAACTTGGTAAACAGCATCTCTGAAAACCATGATGTTAGCATCCAACTAAACATGAAAGACTGAACAACTGTAAGAGCGAGAATAGAGCAAGGATGTCTGCTCGCACGTCTATCCAGTCATGAACTAGTGAGCCTCGTCTTTGCTGTAAGAGGGGAAAAAGAAAAGAAGACATTCAACAATGTCCAAGAGGAGGTCTGGCCTTGGTCCTCATTTTTTTGCAGGATAATTTCTAAAATATCATATGGCTGCCAGAAGTGACAAGGTCTGAGGCTTTGGGACACACTAGATATTCCAGAAAGAGGAGTTGCAGTGAGAGTGTCTAATCCAGAAACATCAGCAGTGTAATTTATATGGGAGACTTGGTCGTATCATCTCAGTCAGCTTGGAGATGGATCACTTGGGCGGGCAGGCAATCCATCAATAACGCCTCTTTACAAAGGACTAAGGAAACTTTGCCCCTGAGGTTTAGGGCATGGCAGGTGGCACTCCCTGCCTGCTGTTACGCATCAGTGTGGGGAAGTAGTAGGTCATACCCTCCAGACAAGGACACAGAGAAGCTAGTGTTTGGCACTTGTCCAGGTCCTTCCTTATATCCTTCTTCCTTTGGTGAGCTCGATCTGATTTTCCCCAGCTGTAACGTGTTTCTATGAGCTTGGTAGATTAGGATGGGATCTGTAAGCTGCTTGTGTCAGACATGACAGTACTTGTTCAACTTGCTTTCCATTGCTGTAATAGAATGTTCTGACCATTTTTTTTCTGACCAACTTTGGGAAGAGAGGGGTCTATTTCGGTCTATAGTTTCAGGTAATAGTCTATTGCTGAGGGAAGTCAGGGCAGGGACACAAGGAGAAACTGAGGCAGAAACCAGGAGGAGGGCGGCTGTTTCCGGCTGACTCACAGGGCTCACCGTGGAGGAGGGCTGTTACTGGCTCGCTCGCAGGGTTCTGCTCAGCCAGATTTCTTACACAGCTCAGACCACCTGCCTAGGGATGGATTGACATTCAAGAGGTCTAGGGAGGCTGGCCCTCCCACATTAGTCATCAATCAGCTACTCAGCGACATGGTCACAAGCTAATCTGATTGTGGCATTTCTTCAGTAGAGGATTTCTTTCCCCAGGTGACAGGTTGTGACAAGTTGACAATAAAATAAAAAAAAAAAGACCCTATGATCCGGTTCTTTGGGGGATCCACAACTTTATATCTGACTAAATTTATGCATATACAGTTTGGAAAGTAAGAGGGAAAACAATTTTTGTTCACAGGCAACATACATATGCAATAAAAAAATCTAGGAAATCAACAAAATGTCACTGCAACTTACATGCTTGCCAAAACATGAGGACATGGTCCCCATTTCAAAACTTCCCATTCCTGTTATATGGCACAGCAAGACATTTAGGGTGAGACCCTTACATTTGAGCAAATGATTTGTTTAATAAGTGTCACAGTATGAAAGGGGTGAAATGGTGGGCTTTCCAGCAAAAAGGCCAAGAAAAAACTGATACTCAGGAGTGAAGCACACCCCGGGCCTTACCTTAACCCAGCTACAAAAGCTGACCAGAAAGGAATTGGTTTTTTTATTATTATTATTATTTTTTATTTTTTTCAGGTTTTTTAATTATTATTATTAAAAATTTTCACCTTCTCCCCCTTCCCATTTCCCTCTCCCTCCCTCAATTCTCCTTCCCCCTCCCTCTCCCTCTCCAGTCCAAAGAGCAGGAGGGCTGACTGAGAAGCCAAGGACAATGGCACTAGGTTTTGATTCTACTGCATGCACTGGCTTTGGGAGAACCTAGTCTGTTTGGATGTTCACCTTCCTAGTACTGGATGCGGGGGGGGGGGAGGACCTTGAACTTCCCACAGAAAGGAACTGTAAACCTAAACATAAAGTTAAACACTGGGGAAGGAAAGGACAAAGCTTGCTGTGAGCCCAGAGAGACAGCTATTAACCCAGAGAGGACACAACGGCACAAACCATGACAAAATTTGCTAATAGATTTTCATTCTTTAAACAACATTGTTAGGAAAATATAGAGTCACATACATCACACGGGGATAAATTATTTTAAAGCCAGATACATGGCAAATGATTTCCTACCCTGAACATGTAAGGGGTTTTTAACAAACCATTAACAAGACAAACAATTTTATAGTGAATGAATGGATGAAAGACTGAAGCAGATACTTCATGGAGAAAGGAGAGACTGGTGACAAACAACCCTGGAAGAGATCAACACCACAACTAGTCCTTAAGCAAATGGACTCTGAAATGCACATTTATTATTCTAGAATGTATGTGTGTATACATGTGCATGTGTGTGCATGCGTGTGTGTGTGTGTGTGAGTGTATTTTCTCACATGTTGGCATGGATGGGAGACATGGGACTGTCTTGCATTGCTAATGGGAATTCACAAAAGGCATGGCTCAGCCCTTCAGCCCTTCTGCAAGGCAATTGAGCAAGCTCTTATAAACATGCATTTACCATATAACTCAGTAGTAGCTCCCTTTGGGAAAACAAATATCCCAACAAAAACTTGTATGTGACTAGCCATAGCAGCTTCATTCTTAATTAGCACAATCTGGAGACAACCAATACGGTCACCAAATGGGGAATGGATCATGCATTAGGTGACGATACAATGGAACATTATCAACAATGACATGAAAGAGACTACTGATACATATGCAAGAACATGACTATTTTTCAAATTCTTTATGCTAATTAGAATCCAAACTCATTCTGAATGAGTTCACTCTGTGACATTCTGGAAAAGGCAAAAATAAAGTGACAGAAAATAGATCAAGATGCCAGGTATGGGAGCAGGAGAAGAGCTGGCCAAAAAGGAGCCCAAAGGAATGGTTATTTTCAGTGGTCTCACGATATCCTAACTTTACTAACTGGACTCTCCAAAGGGTGGGTTTTACAACATGCAATCTATATCTCAGACTTAACTCTAAAAACAAGCTGGAAACCCAGTAAGCTATGAAAAGATCTGTGACTGACCGAGAGCCTAAGGTCACAAATGAGTTCTTATGGGGCAGCTAGTGATTGAAAATGGCTCATGACCTGAGTTTATTCCATGTACAAGGAGAGAACTGAGTCTCACCAACTCTAATCAGAGGTCTAAGCACCTCCTGAAAAGGAGACAGGTGTTTAAAAATCTCGATGTTAGTAAGAAAAAGGTCAGTTGGTTTAGTAGAAATATGGACATGAATTTTCCTTGGTAGGAAGAACAAAATGACAAAAGTATAAACAGTCTCTCAATTCACTTAGGGACTAGGGAACTCTAAGTTAGGTCCTTCAGTCCCACGCTACGTCTCACCCAACCAACAGGCTCAGCAATTAAGGCTGGACCAACCTGAGAGCGAACTTTCACCCAGTTCTTCCGGGAGTGAGATTTGGGAAAAACCATTTTTAAGTGATTTGATGTCAGTCAGTAAAGTGAGTAGCACACTCTAGCTGGTCTGGAAATACCACTTCTTAGCATATTTCTCACTAAATTTCTTCCATATTGTACCAGAAGATGTGCTTGAAAAGTTCTAAAAATTAGGGGTGTGGGAGCTCCAAACATTTATAGAATGGATGTGTGAGGCAGAGTTTTACAACATAACACTCTTGTATCAATAAGCTGATGAATTACAAGCCTAGGTAGCTAAAGACGGGCAAATCTCACAGCATTTATGCGAATCAAAAAAAAAAAACCAACAAAACAACCCACAGGAGTGAGTATTAACAAGGTCATAGAATAAGGTTCAAAAGACTATCTCATAGGAGGGGTACAGTCACCATTACTGGGAGTGAGCTCCAGGGACAGATTGACTGTAGTTATGGTTTACCCTTCAGTGTTTGCTAGCAGTGTGTTCACAACCCCCTGACTTGTACATTGAGGGTGTCACCATAGTGAAATAGCTCTGCGTGCAGAGATCCTGGAGGAGTTAGCACCAGCCAAGACCTGTGGAAAGGAAGGCAAGCAGGATCCTGGAGCCCAAGGATAATGTGGTTTAAAATACCAGTAAACGCTTTTAGTTGTTGATCCGAAAAAAAGCAGAATTACAGTAACAAAATCAATGAAAGCCGCCACTACAATCCAATTTCCTTCTCTTCCAAGCAAGGTTTCCCAGGTGGGAGTCATTTAAAGAATTCCCTTGACCTTCTCCCTCCTCGCTCCCCTTCTCAAAGAATAGGATGGATGGACAGACCAGGATGCAGAACGTCAAGTCACTGATGCTCACAAATATGCTGGCAGTTTTCCAAACTCACAATGAGATGGGCGAGGTTAAATGACCGCCACATTAAGCAGCTCTAGTGAAAGTGAGGATTTTCCTTCAGACAATCATACATCTATCTATTTAGTCTCTCCTCATTAGTGGTATTTCTAGTTTGGTTACTAAAGTCTTGGTCTGGACAGTTAAGTGACCTCTTGCTTTGATATCCTTAGACTTAATTATTTTACAAGGTTCGTCTTGCTTGCTGATGATCGAATGCTGAGCAGGAAGGATGAAAACCAGTCGGTTCACTGAGCATGAATGTAGTTTTGTCTAGTCCTTCACTGTAAGTCTTTACATACCAAAGTTAAACTTAATGACGCACCACACTTACCCTCTTATTTCTACTTGAGCGACAGCGGTGATGTTGATTTGCAGGCTCACAAAATTGCTGTCTGGATTGTCCTTGTTGGAGCTAAAACAGCGATGACACGGTTTCAGTACACTTTCTCACAGTCATGAGAAAACCTTCTGTACATCACAAGAGCAAACCACATTTCCAGATTCAGCACTTGGAAAAACCACGGTATTTATTCTACAAAATCATAACCATTTGTCCAGGGAGACGCTAAGAGCTTTGGGGATATAGAAACTAATCAGCTGTCCCTGGGGTGACACCTCGTTTGAAAGTCCAGTGGAGAAGGGAGAAGCAAGTACTTTTTTAGTTAGAATAAACTGAAGGGGCACTGAATGGCATTTGCTTCCCTGCTTCTACTTCAGACAAATTCTTTTGCTTCCCTACACATCATGCTCAATGCCATTCAGATAGGAAATGACAGCTCCGTCAACTGCAGATTTTCCATGATAATAAATGGAGAGCTGGCATAAATAATCCAGAGCATCTTATAACTGAGAAAACTTTTGGGTATGGTTCTACAGTGCGTCACACCATATCCTATTCTGTCGGCAATTTTATCTTCCTTATGCTTTGTTTAACTTAATAATGTTAATATTAAAATAAGTGTTTTATTATATTAATGTAAATACTAATATATAAGATAAGTGATTATAGTCATTTTATCTTCATGAGCTGTCCATGACAAGGAACAAGAGGGATTAGAAGCCTGGCTATGGCATTGAGAGGCATGAGAAAACTGGGCATTGCATAAGCAAGGAGTTCAGAGGACATGGGTGCTTGTGAAATGCTTCAAGAGTCTTACGAGAGCATGAGTTTCATAATTCCTCTTTGAACATGGCAGGAAAATTTAAGTTTGCTGCTTTTCCCTCAAGCAAATATAATTAATTATCAATTATGAAACTGAACTTTGCAAAAAGAATACATGTTAAGCAGTCAGGGTTTAAAAGGAAAATTAACTAGAACCCCCAAGAGGCTCAAGCAATGCCTGGTCCTTGGATGCAGCTGCCACCCACACTTCATGCCCCCTCTGTGCCTTCATCGAAGTCAGAGATGGAGCTACCACTTTGGGTGATGGTTATAACCAGGTTGGTAAGAAGGGAGAGCCTGCCCTGTGGTCCTCATGAGTGCTGCTTGGGTTCAGTGGGCAAGCTCTCTCTGGGAAGATGGCCACAGGGTAGATTTGCATGAGTGTTCTCATGTTCTCCCAGTCATGGCTTGGGAAAGGAATGGATAAAATCCTGCTTCCAATTGGAGAAAACAGGGTTGTTTCCAAAGTGCCTTTGAAAAGACCTTGTTGGTTGTATTTACTGAGGAGACAACTTAAACTGCCAACACTGGTAAAGATTCTACTGGCAGATGTCAGGTTCATTCTCTGATGGGGACTTCCCCCTGCCGAGCTTGTGATGGAGTCTACAGGAACTTCCCCCCTCAATTAAAGCCCTGTCTCCAACCACTAATTTCACTATTACCACATCTGGGGGGAAGGTTTCTTTATCCCTTTTAAAAGAAAGCATTCAAAAATTCAACTACTGAGAATTGTCTTTGAACTTGAATTTAACATGAGGCTGCAGAGGATGTTTTGATTTTTTAATCACATTTATTTATCTATTCACTTATAAATGTGTATGTGAGTGTATGTGTGTGCCACAGCATGAGACTGTAGGTCAGGGAAGAACTGTAGGAATCGGCTCTCTCCTTTAAAACCAAGTAGGTCCAGGGCGATTGAACTTGGCCATCAGGCTTGGCAACAAGTATCTTCATCTGGTGAGCCATCCTCCCTGACCATCTCCTTTGAAATTCAGCGAGAGCAGAGACTGACATAGCTCAGTCCCTGACTGTGCAATGGGTGTTGCTCTTTCAGAGTATGCCAGTGTGGGTCCCTTTTTACCGTGGCAATGCTGGCAAGGTTCCCGGAAAGGAAGGATCTGACTTGCTATATAACTTGTATGCTTCCTTGACATCTCTTCTGGAAGGAAACTTCCCCCACTAATTCCATAACTATATGTCAACAAGCAATCCACCACCACTGGGGACCCTGGGTTATTTATACCATCCTCCTAGTTCCACAGAAGGAATGATGAATTTCCCTTCTGTGACTATAACCCATGTCACATAAAAAGGACATTGTTTTTCTCCTCATTAGTACAATGCCATTTCCTATTAACTTCTGTTTACTAATGTTCCTTCTATATATTCTGGCCTTTGGAATGCCAATGAAGACGTTATAGTGCCATTTAACCATTACTGAGAAAGCAACTTCCAGGACGCTCACGAAGGTGTACATGGAACTGTATCCTGAACTTTAGGGTGGAGAGAAAGTCCCCCATACAGAGACAGGGCTTTGAGAGATCATTTTATGCAATTATTTGGTAACAGGAAATATTTTGAGTGGATTGGTGTATGAAACCAGCCTACCTTCTGACTTTAACTTGTACAAAGGGGCATTAATTGTGGAGCATGGTAATCAATGCATGGAAGAGTGCAGACTGTGTAGCATTTGACCCAATTTAGTTTTTCTTTGAACACATTTAACTTGAATGTAAAGCCACCTCTGTGAATCCTTACATCTTTGGAGTTAGCCAGCAAAGCCTACAGATCAACACCTTCAAATACTTTAGTATTTATTATGAAGATGTCCTCAAACTCTTTTATATCCCAAATACATTGGAAATTTGATCCCTGATGCATAACCCAGCTTTTTCTGCATTTTTATAATTTTCAAAATAGTATTACAATTGTCTTGAGCAGAAGTGGAATATGACCATGACTTGTTTTTAGGAGAAGGTACATACATGCTAAACCATGTTGTCATTTTTGATCCACCATATCCAATCTTTCATCGATGGATTCAATTTTTATAAGCGAAACATCTTTCCACACATGACAAAAGGCCTCACACCTGTAACACAAGGCTTTAGACCCATGAAGAATCAATAATGTCAACAATGATGGGGAGAAACAGAAACCTCAGGTGCTTTTGTCTAAGGTGACATCGGTGCTGACACTTTAAGACTTAAAGACTACATGAAGTCCTAAGATTCACCAGAAAAACACTTATGTTCAAGAAGGTGAGAAGTTGATTGGGCTCATTACAATCAAGAAGCTAATTAAGGTGAGAAAGAGCCTCTGAGCCAGCTAGAAGGCTTCCTTTCCCTGGAAAGCTGCTTCAAAGCTTTGGCTGGGGGCAGGGAGAGGGGGTTGGTAGCACATTTAGATTTAAACAGTTAATTCTTATCCTAAGACTTTTCTCAAACCTTTAGTTGATGTAGGTATTAAGGAAGTATTCTATCACACAGAGCAATTACCATAAAATTTATCATACTCTAATATCCCTTTGTCTTATAAGATATTAAGGTAAATTACATAGTATTTGATAACCAAGTAATAAACAACAACTTTACAGCCATTTGCATGGTTTCAGCAAGGATTTCACATTTTAAGCAGAATATAAATGATAATTGGAAGTACCTATGTGCTTTCTATATTAGTGTTTTTAAAGCTTTTTAAATACTTGACTGCAAGAAAAATTCACTTGGTTGGGTATCTTGTTAGCTCTATATTTCTCAATAAGGAATGATTCATGTACAAGACAATTGTACTGCATTATATATTAGCTATATCATGTTACATCTATTTCATTCCATTTTCTTTTCTTTTAATAAGAAGAGCCTAGAACCATTTAATTGATTCCATTACAATGAACTGAAGTTTGTATCTGAGAAACCCCAGCGTGCATGCTTCATTTCTCTGGAAGTCTTCCTGCTCACGACACATTTCTGGTCATAAAAGAGCAAACAGAATAGACAATGAAAGGACAAGGCTATGGCCAGATCCATAGGACAGGTGGGCAGCTGTGTGCACAACCACAGGTTACTAGAGAAGGACCTGGTCCCTACACAGTGTTAGGTCATGGAGACCTGCCACAGAATGCCACTCACACCATCCAGAGTCGGAGTCCTTCCTGCACATTTGGGAGATGACAAGATTTCACTTGGAAGATCTATTTTCTTTTCCCAGATTGTTCCCAGGAATGAGCTGCCTGCCTGCTGAGTGCAGAGTGAGGTTATTTTTCCTCTCTATAGTTTTTCACAGAACAGTCCGATACAGTACAAGAGTCCTGTGCCCAGAAGGAGGAAACGCGGAGGTGAATCAGCAGAGGCGGGGAGCTGTTCAAGACACAATCTGACTACTTTGCATCCTGGCCTTCATCTCTTTTGAAATGCAAAATAATCCCCAAAAAGGTGGAATAATTAAGAACAATAAAGAAGAATGGGGTGGTGAGAGTCTAGACTCTAATTCTAGGAGAATTTTTAATGTGCAGGTACTTGCAACAGGGCGCATAGTCACCATGCATCTCTTCCTTCATGGGTGCTGTCAACAGAGTAAGCATTTAAAAGTCTAACCTTCTGATTTGGAGATCGAAGTGAATGCTCGTATTTGTTTTCTCAAGACGAGGAACAGCAAATCGGAGGCCCAGAGAAAACTAAAAGCAAAACACAACACACATGGGACACAAAGGTGTTTGCAGGAGGACCCCTATGCACAGTGTGACAATCCCACCTTAGCCACTCCGCCACCCTAATCCTACACCATCACAGCCTTTCATCTCCCACTCTGGATGACTGGGAGGTAAGAGGAAATCTGCTAGGAAACCACAGGGCCTAGGAGACTCAGTTCAGTATGCACTTTGGCTCTCTACTTGGCCTTGTTGCCCGTCTTCTGCTACCGCTCTGATGTAGAACTTCTCACAACACAATATAGAAGATTTAGGGAACTGCGATGCTTCTGTTTGGGGGATGCGGTGTAGCTGTAGGGATCACAGCTGTGATTGCCAAAGCAATAATGCAGGTGGCAATTCTAATGTAATGATGCTCAACCAAGAATGACGGTTACAGAGTTCTGTGTGCCATGTATATTAGCTATGGTCTGGGAAGCCCACACAAGCAAAATTATTATATGTTTAAGAAGAGTGGGGGTGTACTGTAAGGAATATTCCAGGAGAACATGTAGGTCGGGGTTGTGAGGATTCCTTTGTCCTCCTTTATTTTCCAAATTGTGAAAAGTGCTCATGAAAATAGGTTTGTAAATGGAGAACAGGGAGCCCATGGGAAATCTGGACAAGGAAGTGAAAATGGAAGCTAACGCATATATGTAACATCCTCTGTATACACCATGGTGCTACATGGTCATCCAAGCAATGTTCTCTGCCCTGCTTGCCTTATCTCAGGGACACTTATGTTGACATCCTCCAATGCAATAGCTATCTGCGGATTAGAGCAACAAAGGCAGAGCTGGAATTTCAATCCTTTTAAGGCAGATTCCAGAAACAGCCCTTAGAGCTATTGCATTGTGCAAATGAAACTAGCAACAGAAAACAATATTATTTAATCAACAGCAATGACCTGTGATAATTTATCATAACTCTTCTTCCCCATGGTCCTTACAGTAATGATGCATTAGTATCATTTTGTGCATATATGTTTGTGTGCATATTTACATGTATGTACATGTATATATGGAAGCCAGAAACTGGCTTTGGGCCTCTTTCTATAGCGCCCTACCTCATCACCTCATTTCTATTTACTGTTTTAGTTTGACAGATCTCTCACTGAACCTGGAGCCCCCAAGATCTTTTTGTGTTACCTCCTAGAACTTGGTTTCAGGCTTGTTCCAGGGCACCTGGCTGGGGAGATCACACAAGTCTTGATTATAAAACGTGTGCAGTGTTTTAATGGCCCAGTGAAAAACTGCTTTACAATTTTTTTTTTTATTTTTCGAGACAGGGTTTCTCTGTAGCTTTTGGTGCCTGTCCTGGAACTAGCTCTTATAGACCAGGCTGGCCTCGAACTCACAGAGATCTGCCTGCCTCTGTATCTCGAGTGCTGGGGTTAAAGGCGTGCACCACCACTGCCTGGCTCTGCTTTACAATTTCAAGTGTATCCATTTTTGTTGGACCTCTGCATATGCTCTTCTCTCTTCTTCAGGAGACTTTTATCTTTACTTTGTCTTGCATTTTCCACTTCAAGAGTTTCTGAAAACTCAGGCTTTGTAACTTAGGGTAAGAGAGGTAATGAATGGGATGCTCTCATGGCCTAAGACAGGTAAGCTTTCCTTTCTTAGCCTCTGTCTCTACTATTAATCTCTTCTTGCACAGCCTATGATGTTGCTAATATTAAGTGCCCTGTTTCATAGGAATACAGTGTTTCCATATTATCTTATCAGGTGTTTGCTAAGTAGCATGCTTATGGTGGTTACACCAAGAAGAATGTGATAAAAAGATGTTGAAAGAATAGGAGTGGGAGTGTGTCCTTGTGCACACGTGCAGCCATTGTGTTGTGGGATTCCCCTCTGTATGCTGTGAATACCACTGGTTAATAAAGAACTGTCTTGGCCTGTGATAGGGCAAAAAGAGTGGAGCTAGGCGGGGAAAACTAAATTGAATGCTGGGAGAAAGGGGGCAGAGTCAGAGAGAAGCCATGGAGCACTGTCGGAGACAGATGTGCTGAAACTTTGTTGGTAAGCCATGACCTCATGGTGGTGCACGGATGAATGAAAATGGGTTAAATTATTATGCAAAAGTTATCCAATAAGAAGCTAGAGCTAATTGGCCAAGCAGTGATTTAAGTAATATAGTTTCTGTCTGATTATTTCAGGGCTGAGCAGCTGAAAACCAACAAGTGGCCTCTCTCCCTACAACAATATAGAGTGAAGACAGACAAGACCTGTCAATTTCCTATTGGTAAGCATCACCAGCAGAGGCTGGAAAGATGATGACTCAGCAGTTAAGAGACCTTGCTGCTTATTCTCTTCTGCCCCCTGCGAACCATCCTTCAAATGTGGCATATACCCATAAGCATAAATAAAATAAAAATTTAAATAGTCATAGATTAAAATGTGTGTGACAAAATATTAGCTAAAATATTTTGGTCAATCTGTCTTGCATTTTTTTCTTTGGAGAAATTTTCAAGTTATGAACCTTATTAGCACATAAAAACTATTTTATAGCATCATGGCATCTACATGCTTACATGTACATGTTTATTACATGTCAACAACTTTTCTCTTTAAAAAATCAGAAGTCAGAATTGATATTACTGAGTGAACAGGTGTAAATTAATAGTAGAAGTCATTTGAAAATTTTTCTTTTAAATTTTGAGCCTGGGATAAATATTCCCAGCTATTTATTTATTGAATCGTTTTAAATAGTAGGACTGATCTTCCACCTGCAGTTCGCTTCACTCATGGGCAGAGAGTGCTTTGTAAAATGCAGCATGAAGAGTGAGGGAATCAACATTTTTATTCCAAACCAGGATGCAATAAAATTCGGTGTGTTTGAGGTCATTAAAGGGCAAGATAAGAAACCTATTAGCTTTCTTCTACTAGGGACCTGGAGATAAATGAATCCAAACAATTTACTTCCGCCTGCTCCAGATTATTTGCTGGTAAAATGGATTGATAGCCTCTCACATAAACACTCCCACGGTGCAGGCCACACTGCCATTTCCACCCCTTTTCCGTTGTGGCACTGGTGGCAGCGTTGAGTTCAATTTTACTCACAGTTATTGGCGCTCTGAGATCATCTGCCGTCTAGATTTAACACTCTCGGTATTGAACGGGAATGAGTGACCCTATCTGAATGCTGGTGTCAATACCCTCATGTCAAACTAGGTTCTTCTTGTCTTTCAGGTAAATAAATATTACATCGAGCGGTGAGATTTATTTCCTTCAAACTAACAAAACAAAGGTTAGTTTCTAACTAAAAGGACTATAATGGGAAAATGCCTCATTCTGTCTTTCTTATCTTCTTTTTAACATCCATCTGTTGTTCATTAGTTTCCATTCAAGTATTTTGCACAGCGTTGTAGACCAGATAGAACTTGGGCTTTGTGGTCAGGCCTAGTTGGAATTCTGGTTCTGCCTTTCATCACCAGTGTGACTTCAGGTAATGTGTTTAACTTTTCCAGGCCAGAGTGTCCTTGTCTATTAAACAGGTGAGACTCGGGGTAACACTGATGTAGTTATTCTCTAGTGATGGTCTTGGGACACAGAGGGCATTTGGTACATGAGAACTAACAGTCATCTGTTACAGGGATTTCACTGGCTTGAAAATATTTAAGTTAATGAATGAATTAATTTTTTTATAGAAGAAGTAAGTTTACATGATTTCAGCTAGCCACATTTTTAAAATACCCAAGATCAGTGCAATAAAATAGTGTAAAGGAGTAAAACTATGATCTATTGTACATGCTTCTGGAGTATACATTGGGAAGAGGTATTATTTCAGAAAAGGTTACTGACGCTCAGTTCAGGTTGTGAAACATTGGGATAAAAGATCGATTTGCCAGAAGACACATCAGCACCTTTGAAAGGCAATCGGGACTCTCCCCAGGGATGCATAGGATAGGCAACAGGACCCGAAAGCCCCCTTGAGAGGATGGCCAAGCGGCATGGATGTCTCGAGCCCACCAGGGAGGTATTCCCACGCAAACCGATGCTATTGTAAACTTTAACGGAGTTCTATTCAAACAGGACATTCTGCTGATAACAGAAACACCTAAGTAAGGATTAAACAGAGGATTATGCACATTCTCTTTATTGTGATTTAGTTGTGTGACCTTTTCAGAATCTCAGAATTTGTTCTATGGCTTCAAAATTGCTGCTGTTATATTTATTATGAGGCGTTGTTGTTGAGTAGTTAGGCTGAGTTGAGCAAGTTATCCCAAGTCAATGACTACTCTTCTCCCACAAGATCATTACTCGGCTTATTTTCCTTTTGCTGATATGATCTTTGTATTATTTTTCAAATATATTTTATTTAAAATTGATTGGTGTGTGTGTGTGTGTGTGTGTGTGTGTGTGTGTTTGTGTTAGTGTGACGTGTACAGGAGTTCATAGAGGCCAGAAGAGAATGTTGGGCCCTCTGGAACTACAGTTATATTGTGGGGATGCTGGAAACAGAACTCTAATGCCCTGGAAGACAAAACACTCTTACTGCCAAGCTGCTTCTTTACCCCTATTTTCAAACATAGACCTAACAAAGATCATTTACAAACCAAGTGTGGCTATTTCTAACATGAAAATACTATAATATTCACATGGGAGGCATATTGGAAAAGAGTTCTCTTTGCTTTGCTAATGTAGTTTAAAAATTATCCCTTCTCCCCCATTAGACAAGGCTGGCCTTGAATTCACTGTAGCTTGGGGATGGGTTTGACTTTCTGGTTCTCTTTCTGCCAGCTCTTGAGTGCTCGAACCCAGGACTCTGTGCGTGCTACGCAGGCATTCTACCAAGTAAGCTACATTCTTAGCCCTCCTAAATAGCTTATTTTAAAGCTTTTTAACTTAATATTGTAGTTTTAAAATAAAATCTATATTAGAATTAAAAGAAAATAATCAAAGGCAAAAATCTGAGGTGCACGTGTGCTCACGGACTTTCTGGGACTCCCAGATGTAATGTGTAAAGTCTACAGGAAAAGTGTGTGAAAGCATAGATCTGCCTGTGGCTTTGACCCACCATTATCACTCCATGTAGGTCAACACGCTAAATCCCTGTCTGCTGGTAATTTCCTGGGCAATCTGTTTTAGCTGCTGTTTGCTGGGTGCTAATTGGGGGAGTTTCCCACTAGTCCTCTGTAAAATTCAATCAGTCAGAGATCAGGAAGGGCTGCTGGTGTTCTCTTACGTTCGTGCCAGCCACCATTGGGTTCCCGAGGTCACACACCACCATCCTGGTCACATTTTCCATCTTGTATTCACAGCTCAGCGGCCTCAGTCCCTACAACAGGAAAAGAACACCGTTATGGAGTTCAGGGGCAGAATGGGTTACATCCTGTTGCAAGCGATGTGGGAGGCCTCGGAGCTCCCCCTTGATTTCAAACACCTGTGTGGGTCACGCTGCACCAAGTTAATCCGATCCGATACCATCGACTCAAGAGCAAAATCCGGAGGAGAAAGAACAAGTTAAACTTTAGGAGAAGTTGTGTAAACACATGTTTTGCTGAGGAATAAGAGGCTCAGGCAGTACTTATGTGGACATTTTGTACTTTCACTATCTTAATGTTAAACTCAGAACAGTAAGATCGAAAAGTGATCAAACATGAACAAAGAGATTTATTCCTGACGTTCCTATCACAAAAGCAAAGCAAGGAGGATGCACACAGTTGCTGTGTCTCTACGGCCATTTGTAGAGGAAGTGCCTTGAACCCAGCTTCTGACACATCACAGAGGAACTCTTTGTTAGATCTTGTGTGTCAGATCCTTCAAATATTTAAGATGTAATAGAAAATTAACTTTTTAGGTGAGCATACAAAGGAATGAGTATTTTCTTTCTTTTTTTAGAAAAAGTATTTGTGTTATTAGTGTGTGTGTGTGTGTGTGTTTGTGTGTGTGTGTGTGCGCGCGCGCGTGTGCAAGCACACATATGTTTGGGTGACTTTGAAGGCCAGAAGAGGGTGTTGGATTCCTGGGTTTGGAGTTACAGGCATGACACTGTTGTATTTTCTCTCAGCTCTCACGGAGGCATTTTCATACCTATGTGCTATAAACACATCGCTTTCTATAGCCCCCACCTGTATTGTACCCCCCACGTCCTCTGGTGAATGTTCACGGTTTGTGTTTAACTGGTTCTTCCTCTCTATGCCCCTTTCTCTAGAACCCGATCCTGATCAGAATTTCTGAATACTGCAGCTGGAGGAGGTTCCTGTTTTCGCCTGAATAAGTCTCCATTTACCTGAAGAGAACCAGGTGCAGAGACCTTTCTTTGCAGCCTCTGCCCCTCCCAAGCACCCATGTCTTCATGGCTGGGCGGAAATCCACCCTTCACTTTCCACCCCAACTCCTTATCCGTCTTTCCAAACCTGATGGTGTCTCTGACAATGTCTTACGTTTCTCTATCATTTTATCCTAAGTCATTCTATGCCATCAAATTGTGGCCTGTCCCCACAATATATGGGGATATAATATTATAATATTATGGGGATAATATTATCTATTATCCCCATAGATGATATATGAATGGCTTTCACAGTGGAGCACCCTTTGGGAAACATCCGGGAAGTCGGTAGATGCGGTTTCTACTGTGACAATCCCTTCCTCATCTGGTACTGCTGCTGGGATGTTATATAAGGAAATGATACGAGGTTTTCAAGGAAAGGCTTTAGAAATGGTTTCCTGTTCCTTTCTTCCTTGGGACACTGCCCTCTCCCCAACTCTCACCCAAACTAAGAAAAACCAAACCAAAAAACCAACCAAACAAACAAACAAAAAACCCTCTAGTCTCTACATGAGGAACTCTATAGTCAACACTTTGAGACTGTAAGCATTAGGACGGAAAGACTTCCGGGAGCTGTCCCTGTCTCAGTGTCTGAGCAGAGTTTGCACAAAGCAGCTGAACGGGATAGAAGCAGTTCACACACTGTCCCTTAAAGAGGCAACTACAAGGAGGTGCCTAGTCTAACATCACCCAGGTAAACATGCAGAGTCTGATCAGTGGGAAAGAGCCCAGTGGCTACTACTTGGCTGAACTCGCTTTAACGCAAGGTTACAGATGCTGTGCAGAGAGCATGGTAGCTGTCTCACACAACTTTCCAAAGCTGGCAATCTCTTTACTCAAAGGTAGGTTTATTGGGTATTCATCTTTACAACTCGCAATTTAGAGTAACAATACAGAGATGCTTCATGCTGAGATTATCAATCATGGAAGCAAAACAAAATTAAAAAGTTTTCGAAAGTATCCATGTTTCCTGGCTATAACTCAGGGATTTAGTTTTTATAGTTAAAATGTTTGACTTGCTTGAAGGTGGAAGATCACATGTACTTTTTAAAGAACTATTTTTAAATTAAAAGTATTTAATTTATTTTATGTGTTATGAGTATCTTGCCTACATGTATGTGTCCTGCATGCCTGACACCCAAAGAGACCAGAAGCAGGCACTGGATCCCCTAGGACTGGAGTTATGGATTCAAGTTAACATGTGGGTGTTAGGAACCAAACCCATTCCTTAGCAGCAAGTGCTCTTCACTGCTCGGCCATCTTGCCAGTTCCCACAGGTACACTTCCCCAGGCTTCCTACAAATAGTTCTTTGCCATCAGTTGAAACATTTTCCCTCCCACTTCCCCTCCACCCCCTTTCTTTTTCTTTTCTTTTTTTCTTTTAGTCTTTATTTTCTCTCTCTCTCTCTCTCTCTCTCTCTCTCTGATGAAAAAAGAAACCTTTTTTTTTTTTTTTTCCTAGACATTGCTGGATTGTTTTTCTCACTGGTTCCAGGGACATTTTTGTTCTAATCCATTTCTGGCTCATAGAGCATTCTTCACTCCCTTATTCAGTCACTGAAAATATTTATCTTGGGGCTGCTACTTTACCAGGTAAACAAGACCCCACGTCCTTATTGAATCTCTGTTCATGGCAACAATTCTATCAGGTGAATTATAGCAAGCAATGGAGACGCAATTACAGAAGGATTCACTTTTTTTTTTTCGTTTGTTTGGTTTTTTTAGTTAGAAAGCGAATAGAATTTAAGGAAGGTATGCATTCGTGTTTAAATAATCAGAGAGGACATCCCGGAGGAGGTAACATCTAACTAAGCTAACAAGGAAAGGGCTTATTGATAGTTCAAAACAGGAGAGATTTGACTGGCTCTGCAATACAACTGCCAAGTAACTTGAGCACGCTGCACAAGTCTGCTTATGTACGAACTCTAGAACAAATTTGATTCTTCTCTATAAGGTCGGCATCAGGATCAGGCAAATTCAATGCTTGCAAGAGTTCAGAGCAGTACCCAGACCACAACAACTGTGTAGTGCATGTTGACAGTATTCATTATTAGCTGCCTGAAGTTATTAGTAGATTTTAATTATTATGAAGACCTGAAGGATAAATAAAAAGAGGTTACTGAAGAGGTTGAAGTTATAGAACTAGTGTGTCAGTGCACATTAGAGGGATGAACCAAACAGAAATTCACAAGAGCTAGAATTTAGGTCATGGGGATGAATGAAGCATCAACTACTAGGGAGGCTGAAGGCCCAAGGAGAAGGAAGAGCATGGAAGAAAAAAAGAAATATATAAATAAAGAAGAGAAATAAAAAAGAGAAATAAAGAAGGAAAGAAAGGGGGAGAAAAGAGGAGGGAAGTATGGAGGGTGGGAGAGGGAGGGAGAGAAAATGGAAGAAAGAAAGAGAGAGAGAAAAGAGGAAGGAAGAAGAGAGGGAATGAAAATAAGAAAAGGAAAGAGAAAAAGTTGGATACAAAAATTCTCTATTTACATATCTAGTCTCATGGATTCTTGTTTTTGTTGAATTATTTTCTCAATTTAAAAAAAATTGAACCAAACAAGCAATCAAGTATCTTTGACACTTAAAAGCATTATGCATTTCTATTCAAGAAAGTGATTTAAAGGTACATACACTCATCAAATTGTGTAGTGAGACTTTTCCTGTCAATTACACCTCACTAGAACTATTTAAAACATGTGTTCAAATCCATCCTCACTGGCAGGCAGGACAGTTAGAGGGAAAGTCTCTCTGCTCTTCCCAAGACTATCTGCAGTTGTCATGGCATTTTTCCTCCTCCACTGCAACCGTCAGCATCCCTTGGTATTCTAATTTCTCCAAGGAATGATCGAAAATGCTCCCATTTTCTCCTTTCTCTAGTGATGGTGCTTTTATGCGTGTTTCTCTGTTATTTCAGCAAATAATAGACAGGCGGTGAGTGCAGCTCTCACCCAACACATCACGGTGTTCAGTGGCCATTTTGAATTGAAAATGCCATCTCATGATCAAACCTCTGCAGGCAAAGAGAACAAAAGAGAAGGAAAGGCGGAAGAGACGGCTCGGGGGCTAAGAGCACTAACTTCTCTTACAGAAGACCTGGGTTCAGATCCCACCAGCCCCACTAAGCAGCTCATAGCCACCTGTAACTCCACCTCCAGATAATCTGACCTCCTCTTCTGGCCCCCACACACGTATCTACTCACATACACACACACACACACACACACACACTAAAAATAAGTCTTTTAAAAAGAGAGAGGAAAAAGCATGTCGCCTGCAAATACTTATATATAAACAAATACAAACATTTAACTTAAGTGTGTTTTTTTTTAAACATTTCTGGGTTCCCCTCAAATTTTTGTTTTTATTCCCTACACATCATCCCAGAGACCCCTAACTTTGCTTTTTTAAAAGCCTCTGTTTTAGAATGTTCTTTTACCAGATCATCCGCACAGTTTGTTGTTCATTTTGCTGCAATGGAAAACACCAGTGAGCCCTTATCACTGTATCTTTGGCTATAAACATTGTAACACACATCATCTATAGTCTCAACTGGGAACTGATGTTTCTTTCTTTTTTCCTTCCTTCCTTCCTTCCTTCCTTCCTTCCTTCCTTCCTTCCTTTCTCTTTCTTCTTCTTCTTCTTCTTCTTCTTCTTCTTCTTCTTCTTCTTCTTCTTCTTCTTCTTCTTCTTCTTC